TATAAAGATGAAGATCCACATCTTTAGAGTCCTGGTGCTCCCTGGTGCTGTAGGGCTGTGAGACATGGACACTATCCAATGACCTGAGACAAAGTCTGGACTCTTTCGGTACTATGTCTCTTCGGCGAATCCTTGTGTTGACTTTGTGTCGAACGAGCAGTTGCTCAAGCAGTTCCGAATGAGACGCGTTACCTGCATTGTGAGGGAGTGTCAGTTATGGCACTATGCCATGTGGCGCAATTTCCTTAGTATGGTCCGGTTCACTAGTGGCTGGACCAGGCCAAGGGGACGCCCAGGTGACACTGGGCTGCGGCAGATAGATGGCCATTTCTGGAGGGTCGGATTGGACCATGTGTCAGTCTGTGGGGGGGTTGCCAACCAGGATCCCGAGGTGTTTTGTCGCGTGGTGGATGTGTCAGTGGCAGTGCATGCTCCCCAACCTAACCTAACCAGATCTGACCTGTCGCCCCCCCTCCATCCTCCATGAAATCTGACAGCCCGGTGCCGTAGGAATCAACTTCAGCTTCCCTCCCCAGGTGAGACACTTCATACGGCAACTGGAATGAAGGAAATGCATTGATTGTTCATCTGTGGTTCTGTTTTGACTGCCCTTATTTTTTAATGAAGCCCTTTCACTTCAGTTTCTGTCCGGATGTTTCCTTTACTGTTCCTCCTCAAGTGCTTGTTTTGCTCAAATACAGTTTATTATATGAACGGTCAATATTTATGGATGACGCACTGTGTTTCGCAAACAGGTTGTGAGAATTAGGAAGTGGTGTGTCATTCCCATGGAAAATGAGAGGAGGTACCGCATGGGCAGCACAGCAGGACCCGTCAGCGGCGCAAATGCACGCTATTGTTCAGGCGGTGGGGTGACTGATCGCTCCAAGCAAACGGCTCCTCGATCCCGGGGCCACCAGCTGGGCTGTTTGGCAGCTGCCCATTAGCAGGCAGGCGGGCCGGGGCATCATGCATTTCTCTCGGGCTGAGAGCATCGCCATCGCTGGGGTAATCGTACCGCACGTGTGAGGGATTCGCGATCTGCCTCGACTCCAGGCCTGATGTCCTCTGGACCATTGACCCAAAGGCTGTGCATTTAGTCATTACACAGAAGTGTCCGGAAAACAAGCGCTGGCATTCATGTTTGTTCACATGCAAAGAGCCAGTCTGGTGGATGCTATTTGAATGTTAGTGTTTTATCCATTGTGTTTTAAACTCGTATTAAAAAAAAAATAAATAAAAAATCATGTGGGATATTTGCGGTTCCTATTCCTCTTCCCTTCTTCCATGGGTTTGTGTTCAGTCAGACCTGCTCATTATGCCTAGCATCTCATGGGGAAGCATGACTTCATTAACATCCCATTCAGTGACCTCTGTGATTGGGGGGGGGGGGTCATTTCAGTTTATTTTTCCATTTAAGTCTGTGATTATACTTGTGATCCAGACAAGCTGTATTGAACAGCTGCTTGAATGTGTCTTTCATTTGAAATTATACCTACATTTTTGATTGTGCACCTTCATGACCACAACACTGTGTCTCCAGGTCTCTATAGATAGTCCTGGGGTGTCTGCGGGATGCTGGTGTGTCTGCGTCATGCCCAGGGGGATGGGGATGTGTAATTGAGGGATCCGTTACAGCAGTGGGCAGGTCGCAGTGATCCCATCTTCCACCCGGTTGTCCTCATACGGCGCATTGTCAGGGGGCCCCTTTTGTTCCTTTGCTAAACCCCCTCCCCCCGTGAAAGGGCCGAGAGGAGCTGGCAGGGACATCAGGCGTCATCGCAAAATGCTGATGGACGGGACCCAAAATAGGAGGCACGTGCCGTCGTCCTCAGTGGGAAAACAAAGCCAGAGTCGGGGGGCCAGAGCACAGGGGCTCCGCAGCTGGGCTCTTTGTGTGGCACTGTTGTTCCCGATGGATCCGAAATAGGCAGTGTTCTCTGCCTTCCACCATTCTCATTCTGGCGTAAATAATGGGCAGCCATCTCTGACTGTCCCCTCGGGTGATCGGGAGGCATATAACACGAGTGAGCTCAGGAGGAGGAGCAGGGGGAGGCGCTGCCGAGGAGTGACTGGTTACGCCAGAGCTGCTGGCCGCTCCTCCTCAACGCATCCACAGAGATTGCCGATGGCAGAGGAGCGGGAGGGGGCGGGGGGAGGTGTGAGCGGCGACTTGTTTATGATACGTGGAGAGGGACATGGAAAGGGAGAGGGGGGCGTGTTTACCCCTCCTCCTCTCAGGGCCTGTGCATGCACCTGACCGGGCAGCACAGACAATAGGAGGGAATGAGAGAGAGAGAGAGAGAGAGAGAGAGAGAGGGGGAGCGGGCAGGGGCAGGGAAACGAGAGCAGGAGAGAGGGAGCGGGCGGGCAGGGGAACGAGAGCAGGAGGCGGAGGCTGTGAGCGCGTGAATAGAGCCGCATAGCAGTTAGCAGGCAGGCAGACACAAAGGGGGTGGTGTCGCTCACCCAGCACTGACATCGCGGTGGGGACAGCGCAAGCCGCCAGAGAGGGATCGGGGGGGGCTGGCCACATGGATTTTCTTCTGCATTCGCGGTCTGACCCCAGGTCCTGAGCGCACGTCCTGCCATCACCATCCTAATTTTTCTAGTTCAGGCTCTTCCCGGATCCCGGATCCTGCCCTGCTTGTGACTTCCGCAGTAGGGGGGGGGTCAGTGCGCCCTGACCGGTTGACACCTCGCCCCCCCGACTTCAGCAGGCTTCAGTGGCAGGGGCTTTGGGGGCTTGGGTGTGGGAACACACCCCCTGCTGTCTGTAGAGCTTCTCTCTGCATCCTGCCAGATTAATACCCGTAGCCTAAAGTTACTGGGGGGGGCTGCTGTCCCCATTTGGCAGCACCGCGTGGAGGCAGCAGTGTGAGCGAGGGCTGGATACTGCCTTTAGGGGGGGAGCTGCCGGTGGTCTTGTACTGTCGCTGTGGTGTGAGTGTTTTTATCTCGGTCCAGTTTTTTTTTTTTTCTCTTCTCTCTTCACTCCCCCTCCGGGTGGCGCCCCGGGATGGGGGACGGTGGCCGTGAGCCCCAGCGGCTCTCGCCCTTCCGCATGCTCAAGTTGCTGGAGACGTGCCGGCCCGTGGGCAATCGCATCGGTGAGTCGGGTTCACGCCGTCCAGGCAGAGGAGGACAGAGGAGTCTGTTCTGGGATTGGGAAGGGGGGGGACAGTGTTGCTGGAGGGGCAGCATGCGGGTCGCTACAGTCAAGCTGCCGGGTCACTGCAAACTCATTTACTGTGATCCTAGGAAGTCGGACCTGCTTAGCGTGGCGAGTTACTGCTGTGTAACGTGGCTGACGTCACTCCTATTTTTCTATAGTGAGTGCTATAAAATGGAAATGGAAATGGGCAATAGCTGATAGCTTACTTGGTTTTAGTACAGCCGATATACATGCTCAAGGAGTGTCCTGTGTGTTTGCACTGTGTGGGAGTGTCTGTGTTCTATTTAACTTAATATTGGTGTGGCCCAGGCATGTGTGTGAGTATGTTGTACCTGCAAGAGGGTGATAGGATCTAGGCTCGTGTGTGTGTGTGTGTGTGTGTGTGTGTGCCGCTTGTCTTGGCAGAGTCAACAGCCTAAATTCAGAGCTGGGTTCTGCCTCTAGCTGTAGATGTTCATACAGAAGTGGGCGCCATTGGGGGCGATGGCCATGCGGCGTTCTTAGTTGAGCTTGCTGGGTACCTCTGCTGAAACTGGCTCTGGCTGAGGACGCAGTGCATGGGGCGTGATGCGCCTGTGCTGTCGGCATGTCTGTGGGAGGTGTGTTAACTGGCTGTTAGATTAGCTGTGCCCTCTGCTGTGACCTCAGCGGCAGCATGAGGAGCCGGGAGCCTGTTTCTAGCTGCCAGCCCCTGCACTTGGGTTCTGATATCTAGTCTTAGGTTGGTGTTTGGGCTGGTGTTTGCTGCACTTAGTACCCTGCCCTCCCAGGTAGGGGACCCTCTGAATGGAACTGAGCCCTGACAGATGACTGCGTAGGGTTTGTGTTCTGACCCGTGACTTTATGCTGTTTATAACAGTGCTTTGCAAGGCCTGTTTGGCATGTGACCGGGTGATGACTAGTGATTTGGAAATGTAACCGCAGGTCATAATTCAGCCTCGGGCATAAGATGTGCCCCTCCCCCCACAGTTCTGGGCTCCTAGTACAGCTGAAATGTTTGTCTTGTAATGAACATTCACTAGGAATCCAGCAGAATTATAAGGAATTATAAGAAGTAGATCCCCCTCAATGTAACAGAAGAAGCCAATGAGGAAATGGGAGTCTCACTCACCCTAGCGCCACTGCTTCCCACCCCACCCCACCCCATGTGCCATGAGGCACCCGCTGCATGCTGGGTAATTTCCATCAGTCAGCCCTCTTCACTTGTGGTGTCAGGGATCCTGAACTGGTACGGCCCTGTAAGTGCAGTGGTACAGCCCTGTAAGTGCAGTGGTATGGCCCTGTAAATGGAGTGATACAGCCCTATAAGCACAAGCGTGGTGGTACGGTCCATCACCCCTGCAGTAAATTCTGTGAGCAGATTGTGAGTTAGGAGGTATCGGGGGGGGGGGGTGATTTATTTAGGAAGTGAAGTGTCATTTTCATTTGCTAACATCTAGTGCCAATAGAGTGCTGAGGAAATTTAAGCTGGGTTCTTCTGTGAATAAATAGTAAATTAATCAAAAATTCAGAATAAATAGTAAATAAAGCCAACTTTGTTATGAAATGATAGTGTTTATCTGAAATAACCTTGCTTTATGGATGCAGCACAACTTAATTTTCGTAATTCGACACCGAGTATCAGCGTTTCTCCAGAGGAATGTCATTCGATAGGTAAAGTGCTGCACTGACCAAGAGTTTGGGTCTGACTGCGAGATTCTCATCCAGACACTCGTCCTGAGGAAATACTCCTTTCCGGAATGGATTTTATGTATGGGATAAATGTGCAAAGAAAGTAATAGCACTGTTTTCTCTGTGTGTGTGTCTGGGTCTTTTGTGCACACAGGCATTGTGCATGAGAACGTGAAGATGGGCTCAGATGGCGAGAGCGACCAGGCGTCTGGCACGTCCTCCGACGAGGTTCAGAGTCCGGTCAGAGTCCGCATGCGGAACAACAGCCATCGGCGCATCTCCAATGAGGTACCTGGGTGGGCTGTGCCAATCATGTATCCCATAATGCACTACATGCTGTGGATTAGACCTCACATGCAAAGCCCTCCAACCTCATTCAGTGTACAGTGCTGTGCAGTGAAACTGCAGCTCTACATTTTTCTGAGCTACCCTGGTTAAGGGGAAATCAGTCCTTTGGATATTATCAGACGTGACTCACATTGACCTGGTCCCCAAACACAGCCTGAGTCTTTTTTTTTTCTCTTCATTTACATTTTTATTTTGGTCATTTGGTTTTACAGAGGTTCAATCTTAAATCTTAGAAACATTGCAGTTACATGTTTTTACCCACACACTGTAACTAATAGACTCGCTAATGAAATTAATTAAACTTTACCAAGACCAGTTTTTCCTTTTTAAGAATGTACCAGACAAAAAAAAAAACAAACAAAATAAGAAAAAATTACAATATATCTATATGTGTAAAAGGGGAATTTTATCACAATCTCAGGCAGACAAATTAGACTACATAGACGAAACATAATCAGTCCATTTCTTCCATATCTTAAGGAATTTCCCTTTCTGAAGTTTGAGAGAAAGAAAGTTTTTCCATAGCATATATTTCTTGGGTTATTTCTATCCAGTCCTCCACTGTTGGTGGGTCTTGTCTCAACCACTTTCTTGTTATAGCCTTTTTGCTTGCTAATAAAAGAATCAAAATCAACGACCTGTCGTGATCACTCCACTTCTCAAAAAATATATTTCCCAAATACAGGATGTCGCATTTAAACGGAATGTAAATTTTAAAGACATTCTCTAAGTTTCTGTGAATCTCCCTCCAATATGCCGTTAAGACCGGGCAGTCCCAAAAAATGTGGAAATGATTGGCTTCATCTAGCCTGGGTCTTTTATTCTGGCCCCTTGTCACATAAGAGTTTGATCTGGAAAAATCTAAAATGAGGCAATTAGTTGTATTTTCTTAAGCCAAGAATCCCACAGTGGATGATGGAAGGGACATGCTGGATGCTGTCCTGTTTTATGAGGACGTGAGCCTCCTCTGTGAACTCCCCCTCCCTCCCGCTGCCTCCTATCAGGTTCAAATGGTTCAAACAGTGACTTCAAAACTGAGGTACATATCAAACCATGATTTTTGTGTACCGTTATAGCCCTGTTACACACACACACACACACACACCCGAACACCCACACAAACAAATACACCAAGTCCCCCTGTCCCACACGCTGACAGAGCAGCAGCGATTCCACTCCCCAGCCTTAGTGTACGCCGCCTCCTCTCTGCCTCCTTCTTCTCCTCCTCCTCCTCCTCCACACAGGACATCAACAAACGGCTGTCCCTGCCAGCCGACATCCGCCTCCCAGAGGGGTACCTGGAGAAATTCGCCATGAACAGCCCCCCCTTTGATAAGCCGCTGAGCCGCCGGCTCCGCCGCGCTTCCCTGGTGAGTGACTATCCCAAAGGTAGCAGGACAGCAAGTCATGCCAGGCCACAGGAGAGGTGCTCAGGAGCTTGACATCAGTCCGATCTCCTGTGTAAATTCACCAGTGTTTGTGCGAATGGTCACGTTACACTTGGACACCCAAGCCGGCCTCTCGTTCCTTATCTCATCACCTGTTTACCCAGTAAGTTCGTTGTGACACATGGTTTCTGTCCGAATGGGCGAGGCTGGGCAGGGTGCAGGCGGAGTGGCCCCGGACCATGACAGATGTCTACAGCGTTGCGGAGGACAGGCTCTGACGTGGTCATCACTGTTCCCAGGAAGCAGAGGGGACTCGGCGGGAGGGCCGGGAACGCGATGTGTCGGAGCCGTGGAGGAAGGCTGTGCCGTTTACGCTCTGCTGCTGATGGGGTGTTAAGCACATTCATTTTCACCCCCCCCCCCGATCTGAGCTTTGGAACATTCCTGGAATTAAAACAAAAAAATACAAGTACAAATACAGGAAAGAGCATAATGTGTGTTGTGGCGAGGAGCTCTGAGCAGACATGGTTGGTTTGGTCCATCACTATGTAATGCTTGACTTTGCGAGAGGCAGCAGATTCTTCCATTTTCCCACAAGTGGCACCACTATCCGAATTCGTGTGTGGCGTCTATCCACCAGTGCGTCTAACATGGTGCAAACAGCAATGCATTTCTTCTGCTTTGTGGAAGGGAAACCTGGGAAACGTAGACCTGCCAGTGCGCCCACCGCCGGGTCTCTGAGTCCTGCAGCAATGCGGCTCGGAGCGAGTCGTGTGCACGGAGCCCTGGTCAGCTGACCGTTGACTCCTGCGTTCTTCCGGTCGTGTTTGACCAGCTCTTGTGCCCTCCCCCGCCGGCCCTCCGTCTGCCATTGGCACTGGCCGCGTGTTACGATGCGAGTCGGGTGCCAAGCCTCCCCAGCACGTCCCGGTCTGACGGCAGTGTAGGAATGCTGCTCCTCCCAGAATCCTCTGGGGTCTCCACACGGGCTAAAGCAGTCAGCTCAGCTTTGTGGTGCAGTTTCCTGCTGTGGTGCACTCTTCAGGGTTCACAATCATCCAAAACAGTGCCTTGCTGGTGCAGGGGTGGCCATACTATGGTTTTGAGGCTTGTTCAACTGAAGCCCTCATTCTATGAGCTGGTTAAAAAAAGATAAAGTTCTCAGTGTTGGGGTGTAGATATAAATGATCAAAGCGCCACGTGTCTAATCCAGCCCTCTCGTCTAATAGCTCTTTCCCAGCGGCCCCCAGGTGGACTGGCTGGCTTCCCCATCTTTGAAGCGGTTTAGCGATAGGGCTATTTCTCTTCTCTGGGAGTCAGCTGCAGAAGATTAAAGGCAGAGCCTCTGAAGGGAGATGACTGTTTTTGTGGGGTGTGAGTCAGGCGCAGTGGTGATGTAACAGACATCTATAATTCAGCATGCCTTTCGGCAGGCTGCGTGGGTGCCACTGGGCCGGCATGTCAGAACTGACGCCTCCGAGAGGGCGCTCGATGTAATGTGCTCAGGACGAGGGCTGATGGAGCGATGGCGTCTGGAGAGACCGGGCAGAGACTCTCAGAGATGAGGAGGCTCAGCCTTTATATTATTGACATACAGCAGTGTTTTCCAATCCAGTCTTCGGGGACCTACAGACAGTCCACATCTTTGCTACCTACTGAGAGGTGGGAGGGAGCAAAAATGTAGACTGCCTGGGAGGGAGCAAAAACGTGGACTGCCTGTGGGTCCCTGAGGACCGGGCTGGGAAACACTGACATACAGTATTTACTGTTTAATACTGATTTTTGATTGAGATGATGTATGGTTTCAGTGTACTCCTGTGTGTGCTCCATGCCATATTCGCTCATAACACGGCCACTAAGCCTGACGCTAATGTAGATGGGATGGGGGGCCAGGGCAGGTTGGGACCCAGATAGATGGGTGGTGTTTGCAGTGAGAGACTGAGAAATGAGCATAGGTGGATGGAGATGCTAGCACAGTCTCAAACCAAATATTACGTATTGCACATTTAGATAAATATATGTAAAACTTGCTTGGTTGCGTTTAGGTTCAGTGCGGGTTGTGGCAAAGTGAGGGATCAGAAAGGATGGGGCAGAGGGTGGGGAAGCTAGAACTGGGGGTGCAGGTTAATCAAATTCTGCTATAAACTTTGTCTTTGCCAGTCAGGTGACTCATGTCTCAATAGCTTTCCATACCAGACCATGACACAAGATGGCACAACACATGTTTAAACAAAGTGAAATGAAGTTAACCCCTAACCCCTATTGTTGGACCTCTGCTGGTGTTACCCGCTGGGTCCCCTCCTTTGGTGCTGTGCTGTCTTTCCTATATGTAAATCATAATTTAATTATTCAGCATGGTGTACCCAAGTAGGATCTGTCTGTCACCAGGTTTGTAAATGTATGCGGCGCTCTCGTCAGAATCGCAGCTTTTCACGGCGACAATGAGGTCTGGGTTTGCGGCTACCCATCTGCTAATCTGCAAGCCAGCCTCTGGTGTTATTTAGCCTGCAGAAAGAACTGACAATGCTTAAGTCTGTGCATCTGTGAGCTTGTAAATATTTCTTGACAAATTGGCATAATGTTTATCTTAGGAGTAGTTTAAGTGGTGGTGCCATGTGACTCGGTTAGGACTTTGTGCTCTGCATCAGAGTGTCATGGGTTCGAATCCCGTTGTTGACAGAGTGAGCAAGGTCCTTAACTCCAGTCACCATAGTTACTGCCTGACCCTGCTTTGGGGAAATGTATGCCTTTCGGTTAAGACGACATGCCTGTGATCGGTAGGTTGCCTGTTCCAATCCCATTTCCAGACAGCTGCTCCAGGGACTGGAGGGCCTTCTTTCTCTTTTGCACTCTGGGTGCCGCTGGTGGGTGTGAAGCAGAAAGCTTCTGGGCAAAGCCACAGGAATACGGGCCAGTGTGGCTTGCGTGCCGTTTTTGACGGCAGGTTGGAGGTGGATGCAGATTGGCTGTGCACTCTCGCATTGTCCTCCAGCTCAGATCCACCATTTGTTATGTTCTTTTGCCTGGCGATGTGGCCGTGGCTGAGCGCCCCCGGTGGCAGTCGGCGCCGTGTCGGCGGCAGCCCGCTCCGCACGTAGGCTGCTCTACGCTCTCAGCTGTATATCCTCCATTCTGGATGGGCGCCTCTTCAGGGGTGAGAGAGCAGCGGGATGCTGTCATGTGCTTGCAGTTCCACGAGGTGGGACTGATAGAAAATTAGGGGAGGCTTTGCATGCCTTGCAGTGTGTGCAGGGTTAGGGAGATGCTCAGAGAAGGGGGATTTGGTTCTGTGCATATTTGTGTAACTAACAGAGGGTTCCTTGTTGGCTGAGCTGGTGAAGGATGCAGCTGAACCACAAAAAAACTTTTGCGCCGTGCTGTGATTGGCCAATGAATATTGATCACCCTGATATTTCTATGCATTTGTCAATCACTTGCATTTTTTCTTTGATGCCATTGTGTGTGTAGCTGTGCCTTTAAGCAGGTCACTGATATTGTGTGGGTTAATAGCTTATAAATGCTTCAGTCCTCTACCCCCCCCCCCACCCCCCCAGCCTCAGGACAAAACAGACTGAAAAAGGATGCAATTTGCCTACCGGGCCTGGGGAAATGCACAAGCTGAAGTTTGCAGAGCAGGAACATTGCTAATTCGTTTTTCGCTATAAAGTTTAATGAATAAAGTAAATATTTTTTTTCTTATGAGAATCATAACTGAAAAACCCGCAGGATCTTCAGGAAGGGAAGCATAGTGGAAAAGGCCAGTGAGAGGGTGTGGCAGTTCCCCTGACACTGGAGAGCCTGCAGCTGGGGGCTGGTGTTTATTAGCTTGGATCACTGAACAGGCAGCTGTGGAGCTGAAGTCGGTGTCATTTTCTCATGTGGAACAGGCTCGTGCTGGTTTGGGGATTGTGGGAATGGCATTTCTGTAGAGAATACACTGCAGTGGTTCCCAATCTGGTCCTCTAGGGCCTATAGCCAGTCCATGTTTTAACTCCCTCCCAGCTCCTATAGCCAGCTCCCGGGAGCTGGGAGGGAGCAAAAACATGGACTGGCTATAGGCCCTAGAGGACTGGATTGGGAAACTACATTATGGTTTTACAGGAAGTCACAGTTACAGGGTAACCGGGGGGACTGAAGTGCATGGCGGAGTTTCACGGCCATCTTCTGATGATCATTTACAGTGCCTGTTTAGGCATCAATGCGTAATGAATTGTCAGATGCGATATGTTATTCTGGGAATCTGAATTACGGCATTAAATGTAAAACTGGAAAAGTATGTGAGAGCATGCTGTGAGATGTGTGAAGGTCGTGTTTAAATCTTCGGCTGTTGCCAGGGATTGACAGAATCTTCCTGGTTATAATGCACAGCGGTGGGGTGGGGTGTTGGTTCAGAATTTGAAAGCCAAATATCCTGGTTGATGGAGGCCGTTGGATGACTGTGCAGTTCCTCTTTTGGCCTGAGGGGGCTGACAGAAGGGCAGTGGGTGCTCAGAGGGAAGATGCCACTGGCTTTTACTCTCCAAGGCCTGGCACGTCCACATTGTGGCTTGCTATTATAGGAAGGCTCAGCATGAGACATGAGGGTCAAGGTGGTACTTGTGAGCCATAACAACTTGGACACATCATTTACATGGAACTGGCATTCCTGCCCTGACTGCCACCGCATTGCCGTGCCGCTCCAGTCGTGCCACCTCTCCTTACGATGCATCACTAATCCCCCCCCTTACCCCACTCTTTGTGCGTTCGTATGGTGTGTGGGCAAGGAATGGAGGTGACATTATTTCCACGGAGTATCTTCGTCTCTCCTGCATTGCATTGGTAGAAAGGTGTCAGTTGACTCCCCTGCATTTCAAATGAGAAACTGTGGATTTGTGCTAAAACTGTGTCTTGTGACAAAGCTGATTTGAATGTGTTAAAGGGAATGCACTGAATATGCACCCCAGGGACTGTACTAGAATAGAACTGACTGTGAAACCTGTGGGCTGGGTGCTGAGATCGACGAATAGTTTTTCCTGAACCTCCTGTCTTCCTCTTCTGTTCTAGTCTGAAATCGGCTTTGGGAAGCTGGAGACATACATCAAGCTGGATAAGCTAGGGGAGGTAAGAAGGCACCAGCTCTGAGGTGTCAGCCATCCTGACAGACAGGGCGCTCGTTAAAATAAAGCTGGGATCTTTCAGTCTGGGCCACCCAGGGAAGAGCCCCGCGTTGCAGGATGTGATTCTTTCAGGTCCACGGACAGCATCTCCGCAGGAAGGCTGTCTGTTACTCTACAGCAGGGATCTCAATCTCCAGTCCTGGGGGGCCGGAGCCCTGTGTAGCTTAGTTTTTTCCCTGTACCACCACAAATGATTCAGCTCAAGAGCTGTGTGGTAATTAGCACAAGGAGTTGAATCAGGTGTGCTAAATGAGGGAGAACCAAAAACTGTGTAGGGCTCCGGCCCACCAGGACTGGAGTTTGAGACCCCTGCTCTACAGTGTCATTAGTGTCTCTTTAAAAGATTAAAGCTGGGAATCTGCATTTTAATTTAATACATTTGTCATTTTAATTGATTTCATGGATTTGCATGTTCAGTTTGATTCTCACCTTGATCACAGTACAAAATAAATCTAATTATACCAGAGCTGCGATAGGTTTGCACCCCATCCTGGGTTGTTCCCTGCTTTGTGCCCATAGCTTCCAGGATAGGCTCTGGAACCCTGCGACCCTGAATAGGACAAGTAGTTACGATGGATGGATTTTACCAGAAAGTACTAATCATCACCTTTTTCTTCAAACTAAAATCCAAGAATTACAACAATAGGGAGTGTAAAAATTTCAGGAAGGCGTCTTAAATACCTCTTAGTCTCTAATTTCCCAATCCTCAATCCCCTGTCCCCATGTCTTGCTCCAGGGTACCTATGCCACAGTTTACAAAGGCCGAAGCAAGTTAACAGACAACCTAGTGGCCCTGAAGGAGATCAGGCTGGAACACGAGGAGGGGGCTCCCTGTACTGCCATCCGTGAAGGTAACTGCTGCTTTGCCAACTTAAATACCTATAGCTTAATGTCCCCATGTTTCCCAGTCTTAGTGTTTGGGAATGAGATTGTTAAAAAGGTTTGGTCTGCTGTCAGTCTCCCTGACGTTATTTTCTCCTTCAGTGTCATTGCTGAAAGACCTCAAGCACGCCAACATCGTCACCCTTCACGACATCATCCACACTGACAAGTGCCTGACGCTGGTGTTTGAGTACCTGGTAAGTGGACGGGCCTCCCTGAGCACTCAGCCTGCCTTCAGCCTCTCTCGGACCCTGAGGAACGCTGCATCTTCTTTTGCTGCAGGAGAAGGACCTGAAACAGTACATGGACGACTGCGGAAGCATCATGAGCGTGCACAATGTCAAGGTGAGTGCGGGCACTGGGCACGTTTTTGGAGTGGTACCCCATACAGCACATAGAGTCATGGGCACCTTACATCTGATTGACATTTTCTCTGTTCCTGTCCCCCTCCCCGGTCCCCGGGTTCCCTCTTTCCCCCGGTGTCCTGGCTGCTCCTTGTCCTGCAGATATTTCTCTTCCAGCTGCTTCGGGGCCTGGCCTACTGCCACCGGCGGAAAGTGCTGCACAGAGACCTCAAACCCCAGAATCTGCTCATCAATGACAAGGGCGAGCTGAAGCTGGCGGACTTTGGTGAGACAATGGTGAACATACACCAGTGAGTTACACTGCCTGTCCAAAAAAAAGTCACTATTTAAATATCAATCAGCAAGTACTTAAGAGGCAGCAATTGGATCACTATTACAGCTCAGCAGAGTTATGCAGCAATAAAGTGAAGTCAGCTGAGTACCTGAATCTACTGAATTGCCAGATTATCCCATCAAAGAATTTTTTCTTTCCTAACAGCATGGGCATATTCCAGGACGATAATGCCAAGATTCATTGTGCTTGAATTGTCAAAGAGTGATTCAGGGAGCACGAGGAATCATTTTCACACGTGAATTGGCCACCACAGAGTCTTGACCTTAACTCCATTGAAAGTCTTTGAGATGTGCTGAAGAAGACTTTACAGAGTGGATCAGATCATCTACAATTTAAAGAACTTGATAAGAAATTAATAAAAATCTACGTGGAAAAAATGTTGAGCCATTACCTAAGCAGGTGGAAACAATGCATTGATAAATGTGCACCATAATCTAAGCTAAAGGTGGTCCAACAAAATATTAGTGTGTGACTTAATTTTTTTTTTGTACAGGCAGTGTATGTTGCTGCTGTTCTCCCCTGTATTACAGTAACAAAGGTTTTTTTTTAGTAGTAATTACAGTCACCTAATTCTGTAATATGGTAAGTTACTCTTTTGATTTTTTTACATTTTTTATTTTGTGCCCTTTCTAGGTCTGGCCCGAGCCAAGTCTGTTCCCACCAAGACCTACTCTAATGAGGTGGTCACGCTGTGGTACCGGCCACCTGACGTTCTGTTAGGGTCTACGGAGTACTCTACCCCCATCGATATGTGGTGAGGATGCAATGCGCAAAAACACACCACATGGCCACAACCTTTCATCCACCCAACATGAATGAGTTGTGAAACATCCACACTCGTGCAGAGCACCTGAGAGATGCAAAGTATGCAGGAGTTTCCACATAGATTTGCTACCTGAGTTTTGTAGTTAATATCCCACTATGCTTAAGGACTTGTATAGACTATAAAATAACTTTATTTTTTTCTGCCATCATTAAATGCCACATATAGCAAGAGCTTCAATGATGAGGACTGCTCAATGTGCTAATATTTCATTAGGGATGGCTCGTGGGAGTTTTACTTGCACAAAAATGTTCTGAGGGCAGAAGGATTGGTTCCAAGAGAGAACCAATCAGATTGTAGTAGAGGTGGGTCCAAGCAACCAGTGGAGGTGGGACCAAGACATCTGATTGGTTGATCCTGCGTCCTCTGTTTGCTTTGCCCCACCTCCTCTCTCTGAACCAATCATTTTTCCTTCTGCCCTCAGAACATTTTTGTACAATTAAAATTCCCATCAGCTTATGGATGATGGTTAGGGTGATTTTGACATGGAATTCTCAGCAAAGTATTTCTCTGAGCAATTATGGACAAACAGGCATATATCTTGAGTGCTATGTTCCATACATTGATGTATACATGATGGATGACAATTGATTCTGAAGTGAATGTTGACAATCAGCTCATTCAGAGGGAATATAGGGGTCCTGTTGAAACAAGTCCTTATTACCAGAGAAAAATAAACTTCTGTAATTCAAGTAGTATACAGGACACAGAGAGCACTCTACTAAACGGGGGAAGAGTCATGTGACATAGACCAAGGACAGCTAAAGTGTCTTCTTTACCCACAATGAAGGTATCTAGGGTTATGGTGTCATGAGTGTTTTCTTGGCATGGTTTAGATCCACTCAACCCCTTAGTAGTTTAGGTAAAGCCGTAACAAAGCCATTTTGAATAATCACATTCATCTTATGATGCATTTCAATCCCAGTGGGAGTAGAATGAATGCCCCTATTTACAAGGCATAAAGTGACCCCTGAATGGTTTGAACGGTGTGATTATGTGAACCATGCACATCCCAATCACCTGATCTCAGCATAACTGACCACTTGCAGGAGATTGTGGAGCAGCGCATTTTCCACCAGTGACAAAACACCAGATGGGATTTCTTGCAGAAGAATGTCACGTCTCTGTAGAGTTCCAGATTCTTTCAAAATTAATTGTATGGTGCACCTGGTAGTTCGTGCTGTCCCAGTGCCCTAGTAAGACACTCTAGTGTTTCTTTTGAAGCCCATCTGCATGCAGCAACAAAAGAAGTTTTGGTTTGGTGCATCCTACTAATGTATTATTTCAAATGAGCAATGGTCACAGAATGAGTGTGCTAAATGCTTTCTGTCCTGTTAAGTGACCTGCAGATGTGCTGGCGACGCCCTGATACAGGTGTACATTTGCATTGCTTGTGTGTTCACTGTCATGGAGATGGTGCCTAACACGACTTCGCTGTCACCGTGTGTGTCTTACCGCGTGAAGTACAACGTGATACTATTATGATCTCATCCTCTTTCATTTTTATCTATTTTAAATTTGTTCCACTTATCCATCCTTCCCCAGGGGTGTAGGTTGTATATTCTATGAGATGGTGACAGGGAGGCCTCTCTTTCCCGGATCCACAGTAGAAGATGAGTTGCACCTGATATTCAGAGTCTTAGGTGAGGGCCCCACCTCCAGCTGTGTGTGTGTGTGTCTGTGTCAGGGAGGGTGGGGAAATATTCCCTGAGCTGCTATTTCATCCCCTGCCCCCTTTCTGCTCTGCAGGTACTCCCACAGAGAAGACCTGGCCAGGAATCAGCAACATTGAAGAATTCAAAACATACAAGCTCCCGCGCTACTATGCCGAATCCTTGGTGAAACACGCACCCAGGTCTGCCTCCTGTCCCTCAGCTTCTGGTTTGCTGCTTTCATTCCACGTGTCCCTGCCTTTTATCACTTCTGTCCTGCTGCTATAGTTGCCCTACTTCTACCCTTTTCTGGCACTGTTTGCTGTTACAGTTTATTTGCAGTGTGTAGTATTTTTCCTTTACTTTTCATGGTGGTAGAGTGTGGCTCAGCAGAATAGGTCTCTGTGCCTGTGATCAGATGGTCGCCGGTTCGAGGCCCAGCCTCAGCAGAATAGTCACATGTCTGTGGGCCCAGTAGCAAGGTGCTTATTCCCTAATTCGCAGGGGTGCTGCACGCTGGCTGTCCTTGTGCTGTGACCCCCAAGCTTGCTCTTAATTGTATATTTGTCTGTTTGTCTCATGGAGAGCAAGATAGGATAGGCAGGAAGAGAATTTCCCCATGAAGATTATAAAAGTAATACTATTCTATTCTGTTCTATTTTTATTCTCATTGAAAGCAATAATTACATTTTCATTTGTTTTCATAAAGTGTGGTGTCCACTCCTTTTTTGTGAATTACAATGAAGGTGAATGTTCTCTGTATGCTGTGGTTTTTTTGGAAAATGAAATGTACCAGTATGCTAAAAAATTCTTGCCCAGTGTCTTCGAGAGCAGTAACAAACTACCGAGTGTTTGCAAAATAGCACTTTCACCTAAAAACACTTAAGTATACAGTAAATGTCAATATCCTAAATAGCTTCTTTTAAAAAATGTATTTAACGATGGATAAAAAGTCCCCAGAAAAGGTTCCAGTATGCATTTTGACAAGTCAGAGAAAACACTGGACATTGTCCAATGGGATAAATATATATATATATATCTGTCAGAATATGCCATTGTTACTGTTTATACAGACAGTATGACAATATTGAAAAGTAGAATCCTACTTAAATTACCCTTGTTTTACAGGATAGACAGCGATGGACACAACTTGCTATCACAGCTACTTCAGGTTGGCTGCTGTAATTGCTCTTTTGCGCCCTCTGCTGCATGAGGCCTAAACTACTGGAATAGTTATGCAGTTTACATGCAAATTATGGCATATCCTTTTAGCCTTTAGCTCTACCCTGTTCTCCCTTTTTTCTTTAGTTTGAGGCAAAAAAGCGCATCTCGGCTGAGGAGGCAATCCGGCACCCCTACTTTCACAGTCTAGGGGAGCAGGTGCAGACGCTGCCTGACAGTGAGTGTCCTAGCAGACCAGCACCGACTATTTCCCTTTCTTCCCATAATGCTCAGCTGCGGTTCATCCCATTCTAGCTCATTACACAAGTACATTTCTGCCAATAAAAGATGTAATCAAACTTAGGTCATTTTGGTGCTATCGTTTACAGTCTTTGTCAAAACTAGAAAAATCAATTTTGGGGTCTGGCTTGAATTTTTTTCTGTTCCCCATTTGTGGGTGTAATTTTTGTAATTCAGGGTGGATAGTAAAGTCTGTGTTGAGCCAATGTTGTCCCACTCCTCATCTGCACATTTCACCATTACGCTCACGCCAACATTCAAGAGGTTCAGCTAAGGCCAAGGCTCTGGTTTCCCAATGAAAACTGCTGCCAGCTTCCCTTTATTCCCCTTTCTTTCCTTTTGTAACTTTATACATACAGCTTGAAAACACACACACTCCCAGAACTAATGTCTGTCAGCTCTCGGTCCGGCCGTTTTGTCCCTGAGGGGGAGATGTTGACGTGACCAAACCGCTTACTCTTTCAGCTGCGTCCATATTTTCAGTGAAGGGGATTCAGCTCCAGAAGGATCCAGGGAAGCGGTCCACAGCATTCTCTGACACAGGTAAACATCTGTAAATGATGGGGAGGGAGAAGAGTGCTCTAAAACAAGAGGAGGATGAAGATATTATGGAACAGCCTGACAGTCTTTCCTGTAGGCCTGCACCCCCGTGCGCTTGCTTGCCCACCGCCTCCCTCTCTGTCTCGCGTCTCCTCCTCAGATACCCTCTGTCCAGACTGAGTCCCCCACTCATTCTGTGCCTTGTGGGCTCTTGGACAGCCTGGGGTGCCACATTCTGGCAAAATATCCAGCCATGTCCCTAATGCCACATGGTGTGGCCTGAAACCTGCACAGTGTGTGCTGCTGCTACAAGGCAGCTGATACTATCTGAACTGAATTTCAAGATATTCTATGACTATCAGTCTCTGTCTCTCTAAATACAGAATCTGCATCTAGTAGGAATGTAAGGTTGATGCTTGTTTCCAAACTGAAAATGATGCTTCCTGTTTTCTTCCTATGTGCATGTCTCCATGTTTGTGTATGGGCCTGCTGCAGATACGAGTGATGGCCAAATGATGCTTCATGAACCACTTGCTGTATTTTTTAGACCCCCTTAGCTAGTACTCTTGGTTTGGTTTGCGTCATGCTTTGAGCCCTTTTCTGAATAGAGAGCACTATGTAGTGGGGTCAGAATATACAGCAAAACAGTTCATGAAGCTTCATCACTAGCAGATACTGCCACTTTGCTAGGCCTTGTTTATGCAGGAACTGACCACATTTTTATGACTGGTAACTTGTTTAACGAGCTCAAAAATATTACCTGCTTCTTTATTTATTATTCTTCACAATCCTTTTAATGAACTAGCCCAATTTAGCAGGAAAACCATGAACCTGGCAACCCTGGGGAGCAGGTTTCTGTATGTCCGCACTTTAGAAAACATGTTTGACCTCTGCCCTTGGTGGAGGTGCCTCCACCAGTTACTATTTCTCTGTCGATTCTCTTTCCTGGTAACATACTTTCTGGTGTTCAGTGGTTCTGTCTCTTCTTTCTACTTCCTCTTTTTTCTCACCCCACCCTTCCTTTGTTCCTCCTTTGTGTTCCCTCCCCAATACCTCTTAGCATCCCTTAAGCTGAGCTCAGCACCCTCAGACTTTTTCCAGACTGACGATGCCAAAACTGAGACTCTCACCTTCACATCCCCCTCTACAGGCTGAGTGACCCTCCCCCACTTCGGTAAATGCTGCTTACGCTTCCTTTGCATGCAGACCTCTGTGTGTCCGCGCTTTCATGTGATCTTACTGTCGTTTAATATTATTAGTTCACGGGCTGTTTTTAAATGCAGAGAGCAAAGGTCTTTGGTTCATTGTTAAAACCTTTTAGTGGCTTCTGAGCAAGAGGGGATCAGCATTCTGCTTTTAATTTGTAACTCTGGTTAATGTGTGCCATCTTTCTGCTGACTATGTAGACCACAGAATGATACAGGCTGGAATGCATTTCTATGTGCAGTTAGTCTGTCTTGTAATGACTCCCTAGAAGTGACATTTTGAACCTGAATGAAATGGGTTTGTTTTTAATGACATACAATTGAAACACCTCTTAGTGTTTTCAGGCTCTGTATCAAGACCAGTCACTTGTTCATCAATGCGCATCGCTGTGTTGTGTTGGGGTGTCCATCCCTCATAGCAACACAACACAAGCTCTGAATGGAGGCTATACATACACTGAGCCCTGGGACTCTCTCTACTACAAGCACAGACAATGGCCCCATGCTGTAGGTGCATGACAAGTTTTGGCCCTTCTTGGTCTGTGTTCAGTCATATCACGCTTATCCCTGCCCCCCCCCCCCCCCCATCCCTCTTTCAGGCCGGGCAAAGAATCGCAGGCAGAGCATGCTGTTTTAGCCCCCTGTGGCTGGACTGTCGTAATGGATCTCCGACTTGCTGCCCCAGAACATACAGAGGAAGAAAAAAAAAAGAATTGTGAAATTGTGAAGAAAATCAAGCACATGGAAACTAAAATAAGAATAAGGCAAAAATGATGCTGCTGCCGTGCTGGAACTGGGAATATTTTATAGTTTCAAATAATTTAACTTTTTCCTTTTTCCTAAGACTAGCCTTGTACATTTGTCTTAAGGGGCTGTCCAAGTAATTTAAAGTAGCAAAGGAAGGTGGCTGCAGTTCTCGGTTGAGATACCACCCTCCACTTAGGGCGATCTGCAGAGTTTCTTTTTCATTTTGCATCCTGACATCCTGCCATCTCTGATAACGACCACTGGGACGTACGGCGACAGGCAGACAGTGCAGAGTGATGTTTTGTTTCAGCATGTCACTAGCAATATGCAGCCGGGGTGAACAGTTTAATCACATACAATATTAACCTTTAAGGGTACAAATTCTGTCTCGTCTGAAGTGTCTTGCACTGCAGGCAGACAGCTGGTCTTGCATATAAACCACACACTACCCACCAAGGTCAGTATATAAGCAGTGCAGCTGCACAGCTCAGGGCAGATAATCTCTGCATGCTCCCTGACAGCAGCCATGTAACAGGGCCCAGCAGTGCAAAGCTTTGCCTAACCTAAGAGGCTACATCCTTTGCATCAGATAGGGCTCCAGCATCCTATAAAGTAAATTTATCCCAAACCTCAAAGACCTTTGAACATTATACCTTCACTCAGACTTAATGAATTCTCTCATTAACCTAAAGCAATTACTGCAGCAGAGAATATTTTACTTCTGACTCAGGTTTGCTGACTGTTCATCTTCGTCTATACGTCATTGCACACAAACTTTTATAATTTGTTATAAAATTATACTGTTTCTTTTTGACGTTTTTTGCTACAATATTGTATTTCTGGATTTCATTCCCTTTCCCCTATGTTCTGGAAATGCAGCTGTCTGTGGCAGTTAATATCTCTTGTGAGACACGCTACTTGGAGCGTGAGTCTGAAAAACACACAGTAAACCCGTCCGTAAGGCCTTTGCATGCTCCCTCAGTGACCTGTGAACCAGAGCTTCAGTACCAGGAACAGTAACACTGACTCAGTCACCATTGGACAGGCTTGTGGAATTCAAACAACAATTAAACTCCAAAAGTGTTGTTTTACTAGTTGTTTTTAAAACGTACTACATAATTGCTGTTATAATTTAGTCATTACATAAAATGTAATATTTTTGCTCAAATCCCAGCATTGTCTCCTTTGAGTTACTTAATTTGTCTGTGAAAACAGTGGATGCTGGAAGCTGGACTAGTCCACAATGGGCTTTATAAGCCAATCATGAACCAGAAAATATTGTATACAGGGAAATGTTTCTGCGAGTGACCGATAACAGATTAAAAGTTTAAATCATTATCTTTTTTACATTTGTTTGTTTGCTTTAAGCGGCAGGTAGAGGGCAATCTCTAGCCACTTTGACTGGAGTAACAAGACTGATGTGTCAGATTGGGGTTTGACTGACTGTGCAGTGATCCTGTCTCCCTGTGTATGGAACGATCATCTTTTGCCTTTAAACAGCACCTCACTTTTTCAGTGTCTATAGGTGACAGAGACATGGTCATTCAAGGTCAGAGAAATTTAGAACTGTTCTTGAAAGTGATTGCCAACATATTTTAGATTAATTAAATTAATTGTCATTTAGAATAGAGATACGTTATTCATGTCTGTGGGAAAATTCTCTTTTCACCTACCCCATCATCTTCTCAATGAGAGAGAGACACAGGTGAGAGCAAGCTTGGGGGGGGTCACAGCACCGCTAGAGCTGGGGGATAAGGACCTTGCTCAAGGGTCCATGGACACGTGATTGGTTTGCCAAGGCTGGGGCTCAAACCAGCAACCTTTGGGTCACAGGCACAAAGGCTAAACCCACTGTGCCTGTAATCAGAAGGTGTTTGCTAGTCTAGAGTTTGCTCTTAAATCTAATCCTAAATTTAATGACGAGTTTTTTTTTTGCATACAATCAAGTCAGTCTTTGAATATACCTTACTAATGTTGGTATGATCAATTAATTGAATTGGGTGCTGTTCTGTTGCTGAGAATATTTATGTTAATAAACAGGATTTATTCATGAGGCTGTAGATTGTCTCATAGAGTTAATGTGTCACACGTATACTTAACTGCCGATACTGACATGTTTTGCCTCATGTTTACTCACATGAGGCAATACTCTTTGAAATCACTATAAGAAATAGAAGTAAAATGATTACTTCCTGGTATATGTGAAGTTTATCAACTAAATGCCTAAATCAGGTTTCTGATTTTCCTTAAATTATGCTTGTTTTTCTGTGCATTCACAAATTATGTGCATGGGAATTTGTAACATTTGTTGCCCAGTAGAAAAATATTCAAAGTACTAAAGTACTGTACTTAGGTAAATATTAAAATGTAGCAATATAAAAAAAGAGATGTGAATTCCACCCCAATTCTCATTTGTACAAGCCTGGTGTGTGTGCCTGGGGATCAGGCCTGCCACACACAAATCCCAGGCACCAATGACATGCAGCCCCTCCCTCCTGGGCCCTCTCCCCCCACTGGGCCCTGGCACATGAAGACTCTGACACGTTAATGATACTGAACGATACTGAATATTATGCCTTATGAAAAATTTCAGACCACTTTTAACATTTTAATTGTACTTGTGTATAACAGCAAGTTTACTGAACGCCGCCACCTTTTTGGTTTGAAAACAGTGTTTTCGGTGAATTTTCTGGTATGTGTGCAGTTACAATGAAAACATACACTTGTGTATGGAGTTTCTCATTCAGAACAGGAATAGGTATTTATTCAGATGAGGCTTGCAGTCTTTCCTCAACTGTCAACCAAAACAAACTATTGTTTAATTTTATTGAAGTGCAAGCACTGAAATTACAGCATCAAGAGAACATTCACAGAACGTTCGTAAAAGGATACAAAAATGTAACCTTAGTAGAAACTTCAGGGAACGTTCCCTAAAGGTTTTCCCAAGGTTCCTCAAAATGTGACCTTTAAAGAATGTTCTTGGAACGTTTCTAAAAGGTCACATTTTGTGGAACCTTTTTAGAACGTTCCAAGAACGTCCTCTAAAGGTCAGAACCTTTAGGGAATGTTTCCTGAACGTTCCGTTTTGCTGGGAGGATGTCAAAAGGGAACCAATGCAGAAAGAATGTACTTATTCAAAGCTGATTGGCAGGCACTGTATTTCAAAATAGGTTTTCTACCCATATAACTGCATGGCAATGAATAAAATATCATGCCAGAATTATTTGAAATTCATCACTTCTGCCATTGATCAGCTGTGTTACACTATCTGTCATGTTGTGTCAAAAGGTTTGAGAACTATTAGCTGTAAATTACTGGGATGAGACTTAAGTTCAAGTGGGATATTTTAAATATTTCCTATGCCTGTGAACTTGGTGTCAGACTTAGATTAAAAAAGTTATTCATTAGCACAGACGTTAAATTTACCCATGACACTTGCTTTCAGTAGCAAAAAAGCCTTTATCAGTTTAATAAGCATTATTAGATCTGTTTAAATAACAGGGCAGTGATTAGAGTAACATTGGTTTAATAGGCTGATGGATACCTGTCCTCTATAATTGCCAAAGATGCGTCTTTTTGGCTTGTGTGCTTGATTATTCGTGACTGACATCGTTTAACGGTCTCTATTACAAAATATATTAAAAGGTTTCTAAAATAATTGAAGTTGTAGGTGTTTTAAACTGAGATATGCTGCACATGTTTTTCTCATCCAGCTTCTATTTAAAGTGAGAAAAAAACACAAAAGGCAAAACAGTAACACTTACTGATGAGAAAAAAAGTAATTACATCAACAGGAACCAGATTTAACACATTAGGCATTTCTGAGATGAGAACACATTTAAACCTATTAATAAGGTGGCAGAGAAAATAAAAGTATGCAGTTACTTGGTGTATTGGGTTAACTGAGTTAACTCTGACAGATAGATAGATTGCCCAAAAAATTAAAGAATGTACAAGCAACGGGGGCATGCGCGCAGACTCCTCACAGCGTGGCCGAGGCGTCCGGAACCCAAGTGGCACGGGCTTAGGCAAGGGTGGTGTCCCCCAGGGCCAGGTCCCTGTTCCCAGAGACCTCCCCCCTCGCTCGTAAAAGACAGTCTTGTCGTCCAGCTTTTTGACAAGCATATAAGAACCAGAAGTTGATTTGCTGAGCCTATTTAACAACCAAGGTCAGGTCAGGTCGGGGAGCGTGTGCTGGTGCAGCACGTTGCCGCACCCACACGGTCCAGTCCCACCCTCTGGAAATGACCATCCATCTGCCACAGCCAGGTGTTACGTGGGCGTCCCCTTGGCCTGGTCCAGCCACTTGGGTCCTCAACAATGAGGATCCTGTGAGCCAGATCACCCTCAGGGAAACACACCGCACGGCCATAGTGCTATGCTTGCCGCTCCCTCACAATGCAGGTAATGTACATGGCATTTGGGACTCCTCTAGCAACCGCTCATTCAACACAAAGTCAAACCAATACAAGGATTCTCCGAAGAGACACCGTACCAAAGGAGTCCAGTCTTCATCTCAGCTCACTGGATAGTGTCCATGTCTCACAGCCAAACAGCAAAACGGGGAGCACCAGGACTCTAAAGACTTGGACCTTGCAAAGATATTGGGAGCACCACACACCCCTTTCCATCGACCTCATGACCCCCTATGCTCTTCCAATCCGTCTGCTGACTCCATAGGAAGTGTCACTAGAGACATGAATGTCACTGTCAAGGTAGGTAAATCTCTTGACAAGGTCAAAGTCAACATTCTCCCTGCAGACAGAAACACTAGTGATGGTTTTGCTTAAGAAATAAGAACATAAGAAATTTACAAACGAGAGGAGGCCATTCGGCCCATCAAGCTCGTTTGGATAGAACTTAACTAATAGCTCAGAGTTGTTAAAATCTTATCTAGCTCGGATTTAAAGGAACCCAGGGTTTTAGCTTCCGCTACACTAGCAGGAAGACTATTCCATACTCTAACTACATGCTGTGTAAAGAAGTACTTCCTCAAATTTGTTTTAAAATGTTCTCCCGCTAATTTCCACTTATGGCCATGAGTTCTAGTATTTAAACTAATATTGAAATAGCCATTTGGCTGAACAGCATCTAGACCCATTAGAATCTTATAGACCTGGATCATGTCCCACCTTAGTCTCCTTTGCTCAAGGCTAAACATTCAGCTCAGCTAACCTCTCCTCATAAGACATTCCTTTAAGACCAGGAATCATTCTCGTAGCCCTCCGTTGTACCTTTTCTAAGGCAGCAATGTCCTTCTTAAGGTATGGTGACCAAACCTGCACACAATATTCTAGGTGGGGTCTTACCAAGGAATTATATAAATATAACATCACCTCCCTTGACTTCAACTCCACACACCTAGAGATATAACCCAACATTTTATTGGCCTTTTTTATTGTTTCCCCACACTGGCGAGAGTGGGACATGGAAGCATCAACCTACACGCCGGGATCTTTCTCATAATCAGCTACCTTTATTTCAGTGGAACCCATAAAATATCTGTACTTTATATTTCTGCTCCCTGCATGGATTACTTTACATTTATCTATGTTAAATTTCATCTGCCAAGTATCAGCCCAGTTGCTAATTAAATCTAGATCCCGTTGTAACCTCTCTGCTGCTAGATCAGTATCTGCTACACCACCCACCTTGGTGTCGTCTGCAAATTTAATCAGTTTATTGTATGTACTGGTATCAATATCATTAATGTAAATTAGGAACAATACTGGTCCTAAAATTGAACCCTGCAGTACCCCATTATGAACGCAGGCCCACTGTGACATTGTGCCACTAATAACTACTCGCTGCTTAACCAGTTATCAGTCCAGGTCGCTACAGTTCCTAAAATCCCTGCAGCTTTGAGCTTTAGCAAGAGCCGTTTGTGGGGGACAACATCAAAGACCTTCTGGAAATCTAAGTAGAGCACATCATAGGCCTTTTTGTGATCAATTTCACTTGTAGCTTCCTCAAAGAACTTAAGTAGATTCGTTAAACAAGATCTACCTCTCCTAAATCCATGTTGGCTATCCCTCAGAATGTTATTTGCATCCAGGTAATCTGCCATTTTCACTTGGATTATAGCTTCCATTATTTTTCCATTAATGCTAGTTAAACTGATTGGCTTATACTTTGCTGGATTACTTCTATCCCCTTTTTTGAATATGGGTGTTATATTAGCATGCTTCCAATCTGAAGGTACCGCACCCATTCACAGATAACGATTTCTGGAATATTAAAGTTAAAGGTTGACTAATAATATCCCTCATCTCTTTTAAAACTATAGGTAAGATGCCATCAGAGCCCTGTGATTTATTTGAGTTTAGCTAGGCTTAGTA